GAGACCCTCTAGTGTATTTTTTAATTCAGCAGATACTTTCTCAGTTCTAAGATTTCTGTTTTACTTTTTATTATTTCAATCTCTTTGTTAAATATCTCTGATAAATCTCTGAATTGATTTTCCATGTTATCTTGGTGATTTGTGGTTTTATTAAAACTGCTATTTTTAATTCTTATTCAGAGTGTTTAAATTTTGCTGTCTCATTAAGGTCAATCACTGCTGCTTTACTTTGTACATTTGGGGAGGTTATGGTTCCCTGTTTGCTGTTATTTCTTATGGATTTATGCCTATATCTTTTCATCAAAGGATTAGTTATTTATTCCAATCTTCTCTACCTGGCATGTTTTGATTTTTATTGCATATGTTTTCTCAGAGATTTTTTGTAATTTTTAAATTTCTGCCCCTCATCCCCTGCATTGGAAATGGTTGTCCCTTTCATCCCTAGATGATGCCTTAACCCCAGGTTTGCCTCAACTCTAGTAAAGGATCAGAACACTGCTTGTCCTGAATGAGGGAGGTCCCAAAAGGAATATACCAACAGGCTGGCTAGAGGTTTGTGCCCAGGGGACCTGTAGGATGCCAACAGTGACTGCTGACGCACAGCTACTATGATGTGATATCTATTTTGGCCAAGTTATAAAGCAGAGTTTCTAGGGCTGAGAATGTAGTCCTACCTCCCTCCTTTGTTTCTAGCTGTCCTCAGGGATATTTTACCCTTCAGGTACCCCCAGTGTTTCACATGAGTTGAGGCAGGGACATATCTTCTATCACAAAACCCAAGATAGTGAGCAGTCTCATTGTCTACCTTGATCTCACTTTCTCCAGTGGAAGCTGTGAGTTGGGGAAGATGTTTCATGTGCTTGGTGCAGGGCAGGGGACATCATAGATATGAAAATCTGGTTCTATTATCATCTTCTTGGAGTTTTTTCACTTCTCTGGGGCTTTGGAAAACTGTCTCATTCTCATATTCAGGTTCTGTAATACTGTAGAACTGTATGTTTATTTTTGGTTTTCTGTGGTAGGGGCGTGAAGCCAACTTGCACTGACACCACCATGTTGGAAATAGAAAAGACCACAAACTTTTTAAAGGCAGTTTTTCAGTGTATGTGAAAAGATTTTTTTAAGTTATTATTTTTGGTTTAGTAATTGTGGCTCTAGAAATTATCTTTAGAAACAAGGAGAGATACAAATGAGTTTCTGTATAAGTATGTTCATTTTAGCATTACAGCTAATAGAAATACATTTGGATAGACTTTAAATGTCAATAGTAAAAGAATGATTAAATTCATTAAGCACATCTGTATGTGTAGTATATAGCTATTAAAATTGAAGAAATTTTAATGAATGGAAAATTTCTCATAGTATATGTTGAGGGGAAAAAAACCAGGTTATAAAATTGTGTACCAAGTCAGTTATCAATATTGAAATTCACTTCTAACCACATAATTCATGGAGGTTAAAGAATTTAGGAAGAGACTTTCACTTTTGGAACGATGGTGATATACTTTCTTCTATACCTCCTACTAAGTATAACCCTAAACCCTGGACATCATACAGAGGGTACCAAAAATGTATACACATTTTAAGAAAGGAATAAAAACTATATTAAAATTGTAATACTCAATATATACTGATAATAATAGATGAATACAAGTTATATCAAGCACTTCTTATAACTGCTGAAGTCAAACATTACTTGAATATTACAAATTAATATAGTTTTTTCCTTTCTTAAAATATGTATACATTTTTGGCACCCTCTATATATAAAACAAACTTAAGAAGACTGAAAGTTGAAGAGAAGAAAGGCAGACCAGCTAGGGCCTTTGGGACACAATGCACAACACGGTGGTAAGTTTACTGGGTTTTCTTTTTGCCTCATATATCCTGTATATAAACTAAGTCATTGTCCTTCTCTCCAAGAATTACTTTTACCCTTTTTGCAAGACAGATCTCTGACAACAAATTCCCTTAGTTTTTGTTTGTCTGAGGACATCTTTATTTCCTCTTCACTTTTGAAGGGTAATTTTCCTAGATATGGAATTCCAGGTTGGTGGGGGTTTTCTTTCCACATTTTAAACATTTAATCTACTCTCTTCCTTCTTGCCTGGTTAGTGAAGAGAAATCCAATATAATTTTTTATCCTTGCTCTTCATTAAGGAATTTTTTTCCTCTGTATTCCTGCAAGGTTTGTTCTTTGTCTTTAGTTTTCTGTAGCTTGAATAGATATAGTTAGGTTGTTTTTGTTTGTTTGTTTGTTTGGGTTTTTTTTTTTTTTTTTTTTTTTGGTATTTATCATGGCCAGTGTTCTCTGAGATTTCTGGGTCTGTAGTTTGCTGTCTGTCATTAATTTGGGGA